TGAACACTTTAAATCACATTTATCTGTATTGCTGTCTTTTTAGTCTAGTCAGACACCTTCTTCTGTCTGGCCTAATGGTCTTCTTGCTGGAGTCTTATCTCCCTCCAGTCCATTTTTTGCAACTGCAGCTATATGGATATTTTAAAATTTATTATGATTTTCCCCATATTTAAAAAACCCTTTTGTGATTTTGCCACTGCTCTTTGGATCCTTAACATGACCCTTTGCAGTATGACCCCTACTTCCCTCTCCTGCCTCTTTGAACTCCTTATAATTTTCCAAAACTACTGTATTCTTTCTTACCCTCCAGCCTTTGCATGTTTTCTTTACGGCCCGCCATCCCCCATTCTTTCCTTCACTTTCTCTACCTTGCACCTGGCAAACACCAGTCATGCTTTAGTTTTAGCTCTAAACTCTACACTTTTAAAAAGCCTCTTTCCTCCCCACTCCCTTACCCCCAAATAATGCTAAATTAATACTCCTAGGTGCTCTAGTTGTACAATCTAGCTCCCCCTTCATGGTATTTACCCCACCAGATTGTAATTGCCTGTTTCTTGCCTCTACCACCTCGCACTGGACCGTCAGCTCTAGTGGGCAAGAATTATAACTGCCTTGTTTGTAGTTTAATCCCTAGGGATTAGCACACAATATTTGGCATATGGAAAGTAGGCAATGATTATTTGTTCAATGACTGATTGAATAAAATGTGCCCAAAATGGGAGATAAAAGGCCACATGTACCAGCCATTATGAGTTGAAATTAACCAACTTGTCTAAACTTATAAATGTGCTGGCCAAATTCAATTGAAACATTAAACCTATGCCATATGCTGGGAAATATATAGGATCCGTGCTGATTTATTTAATGCTACAAGTTTTTGTTTCCTATTTCCAAAAGACTGCGTGTATCATAAAAGTGGCAAACATTGCAGACATATAAAATATGGAGAATGAGATTCCATTCCCCAGAAATAGCCACTGTTAACGGCTTGGTGTATAGTCCTCCAAATTTAAGCAAAAATTTACTTACCATATGCATTATTCTGTAATTCTCCATTATCCTGTTAAAGCTCTTAGACATTTTCCCATATAAATCTACTTCATTCTTCTTAGAGAGTATTCTATTTTGTGGTTGTTCTATAGTTAACCAGTCATGTGCTGATGGGCATTTAGATGGTTTAGCTCAGCTTCTAGAAGCCAAACTACCTAGTCAAAGGGTAGGAACATTTTAAACATTAATAGATTGCCAAGTTAGCTCCAGAAAAGCTATAGTCGGACACAGTGATATACCTGGGAAGAAGAGAAAGCCAAGGAGACCCTTGAGCCAGGGCTCTGTGAGAAGGGAGTGTTAGCAGTGCTGTGATGGGGGGCCAGGGGGCAGTTGGCTCCAGCCCTAGGGAAGGTAACTTTTAGCTGCCTTTTGAAGGAGAGGTAGAATCCAGAAGAGCTGGAGGGGAGAGAAGGGAGTGATGGTCACTGTTGAGGAAAGTGTGTCTCCATACATGAATCACGTCTCAAAATTATCCCAATCTGTACTCTTCACCCCCCAAACCCTGACACTTCCTTCCTAGTTGTCTTCATCCCAGTAATTGCACTTTCATCTACCTAGCTATTCAAGCCTGAGATCTGGGAGTCATCATAGATCTGTTTCCTGCATCTGTTCCATTAGTATGTTCTATCAATTTTATTTCCAAAGTAGATCCTGAACCACTTTTTGTCTCCCTTGTTATTGCAATCTTATGACTAAGTCACTATAATCTTTTGCCTATGCTACTATAATGTGTTCTTAATTGATCTCCCTGCTTTTACTTTTCTCCCCTTTAATTTGTTCTCTGTCCATCAGGCAGTGATATTAAAAGGTAATGCAAATTATTTTATTCTGTGCCTTAAAAACTATTAAAGACTTTGTATTGCACCTGGAGTAAGATTCTGACTCCCTAAAAGCTTCTAGATTTAGACCTACTGGCTTTCCCAGTGAGCGCCTTTTATTTTCCATGGATCCCTCTTACATGTTTTTTCTTTTCCCTGGGAAGATTAGTCCTATGACTGACTTCTCCCATTCTTCAGGTTTCAGCTTCAGTCTCACCTCCTTAGAGATTTTCCCTGTAACTCTTTTGGGTAAAGTAACTTATCCATTTACCCTCCAATCCTGCTGTTTTCTCTGCCTCAGCACCTCTTCATTTCCCTTTATAGCCCCGATGGCAGTTTATGATTATTTGTTGCTTTTCTGTGCCTCTCACTAGTATTAGCTCCACGAATGCCTTGCTTCTTGTTTTAGCCCAGTGCCTAGCCATAGAACAGTCTTGATGTGATCATAAAAATCATCTTTTTTTTTTTCTTTTTTCTGACCGGTAAGGGGATCGCAACCCTCAGCACGGTGTGGTCCTCACCAGGCTCAGCCAGTGAGCGCACCGTCCATCCCTAATAGGATCCGAACCCACGGCCTCGGCGCTACCAGCACCGCACTCTCCCGAGTGAGCCACGGGGCCAGCCCTAAAAATCATCTTTTATGTAATTGTAATTTGTTCTTTTACAGTATACCTCTAATACCATGTTACAGACACGAGTTTACACTTTGAATCAGATACTAAATACTAAAATTCCATTGTTTTCTTAGATTCCTGCTCCAAAACGAGGAGAAATAGTAAGACAAATTGGTGATGCCTTGCGGGAAAAGATCCAAGCACTAGGAAGCCTGGTAAAGTATTATTGTAATATACACATAATCCTTTGAGTGGACAGCTAAGACCGTCATGCACGTCTACATAACATTTTGATTTTTAAGAAAAGCAATATATAAATTTCAAGTTTTAGAGGAAAGCTGAACATGATGGACAGGAAACAGTAAAGACAATTCTTGTATTTTAAAATTCTTCAGAAAAACAAGAACAGACTTTCTTTATTACCTTCACAAAATAGACACAAAATATGTATTACTTTCCCCCTCCTTGATTTAGTGTTTAAAATATGAATTCTGTTGGAAAAATTTTGCTTTGCTTTTTATATTTTTAGGTGTCTTTGGAGATGGGGAAAATCTTAGTGGAAGGTGTGGGAGAAGTTCAAGAGTACGTGGATATTTGTGATTATGCTGTTGGCTTATCGCGGATGATTGGGGGACCCATCTTGCCTTCTGAAAGTAAGCTATGAAGTCGCTTAAGCTAAGAGTTTTGTACTCTGATATAGAGAGCTCTGAAAAATGCTCTGCCTATGAACAGTTTGCAAAAGAGGAATTGCAAGTGGCATATAAATAGGTGAAAATATTTTCAGTCTTTTTATGAAATGCAAATTAAAACAAGTGAAAACATTAAATCAAGAACCTTTTTGTTTTGTTTTAAAGACAAAACTCAGGGGGCCGGCCTGTGGCACACTCGGGAGAGTGCGGTGCTGATAACACCAAGGCCACGGGTTCGGATCCCATATGGGGATGGCCAGTTTGCTCACTGGGTGAGCGTGGTACTGACAACACCAAGTCAAGGGTTAAGATCCTCTTACCGGTCATTTAAAAAAAAAATAAAATAAAATAAATAAAAAAATAAAACCAGTTTTAAGAATCTGAGTAAATAATCTGAAATATGACAAATCTTACCGGTCATTTAAAAAAAAAAAAAAATAAATAAATAAAAAAATAAAACCAGTTTTAAGAATCTGAGTAAATAATCTGAAATATGACAAAGGTTTATGTGTAAAGATGTTCATTAAAAAAAAAAATTTAGAAATGACCTAAATGTCAAATCATAAGAGAAAAGCTACTTTTGGTAGACTATTAATTAGCATGTACTAGAAATAATGTTTATGAAGACCGTCTTCCCTAATCCCACACTTTTATTGGAAAGTTATATTTACTTATTTTAAAATTATATTAGTGTTAATTTTTTTTCTGGAGAGGTGATATATTCATATCAGAAAATTAGAAAGGAATAAAGAGCAAAGGGTGAACAGTTTCCCTTCTACCTCCCTGGCTACTAAATGGAAGCAGCTAATGTTTCTGATTTCTTGTGTATCTTTTTAGAGCGTTTGTTCTCATACAGGCCAATATATGTTTTTTTGGAACACAAACAGTAGCAAACTATACATTCTGTTCTGTCCTTTTTTCGTACTTAATTTATTATCCTGGAAATTGTTTCATATTAGTACAATAACGAGCTTCCTTCACCTTTTCTTAAGGCTGTCTACTTTGTTTTAAGGATATTGTAATTTATTTAGCCTGCTCCCACATGATGGATATTTAGGGTGATTTTCACTCTTTTGCTGTTACAAACTATGCTGCAAGGACCAACCTTATGCTGTGAAGAGGTTTCAGTGATGAGGGTAAGGGCTTATGTGGTCTGTAATGTTTGCAGTGTTGATGGAGCAAAGCAGGGGACTCTCCCTGCATTGACAGTACGAGGGATGATGTCTGCTAAAGTGATGGCAGTGGGTATCTCCGTGTAGCACAATTACTGGTGTTTGTTATTGCCTTTCTGTTTTTCTGTATTTTCCAACATTTCCATGATGGAAATTATGTTACTTTTATAATCAGGAAGAGAAATATTTTTTTTAAAAGATTATGCTTTTCTGTTTTTCTTGGAATGTTGGGCAAATTCCCTACTTGTAGAAAGAGTTGGGAGGGAGTCTTTTTAAATGAATGGTTAATGTCCTTAATTAGATATATACTAGCAATTCCCATTATCCAAGATTAATTTTATGTCACTGAGCACTTTAAAGAAGTTTTTGCAGTTAAAAAAGTTAGTAAACTGCCAATTTGGGAACATATACCTGTGTAAGCAAGTAGCTTTTTTGAGTTATACCTGCTGTGATGTGTGCCTCACCAATTAAAGTCTTTTTCACTTGTTTACACTTTCTTAAAAAAAGTATATTGTTTATTTATGCAGAGGCTTTGGAGTAACTTTGACTTCATTAATTCAGTAAGTACTTATTGAATGTCCACCTGGTGCCTGGGGATCTAGTAGGTGATACTTGATCAATAAGGCATAGTCCCTATCCACAAAAGATTTATAGCTTATAAATTCCTTACATTTTAGAGTGGGAGATAGGCAAACAAATAATCATAATAGAGCATGGTAAGCATGGTGATGGGGTGGAGGATAGGATTGATCTAGTAGGTGATACTTGATCAATAAGGCATAGTCCCTATCCACAAAAGATTTATAGCTTATAAATTCCTTACATTTTAGATTGGGAAATAGGCAAACAAATAATCATAATAGAGCATGGTAAGCATGGTGATGGGGTGGAGGATAGGATGGTAAGTGCATAGTTGGGGATCTGCTAACCCATCCCTGTGGGTGCACTCAGGGAATGCCTCTCAGAGAAGGGAACCCAAGTTAAGGCCTCAAGGAAGAGAGGGGTGGAGTGCCGGGGCAGGGGGTTGTTTGAAACAGAAGAAGCCTATGTGAAAGCTTTTAAGGGGGGAGAGTGTGGCTTATTTGAGGAACTGCATTGCTTCTGCACAACTGGAGGGTGCAGTTTGAGGGGAGGGGAAGCAGGTGGGATGGAGAGGGAACCTTGGGAAGGGACTTTTCCTGTCAAAGAGTTTGGACTTTAGCCTGAGGGTAGCTACAGTAACAATCTAGACACCAGAAGGTTGTAAGCAATGGAGTAATGTCATCAGATTGCATTGGCCTCTGTGGGGAGAAAGGTGGAGAGGAGAGGTCAGGAGAGGAGGAGGCAGGCCCTGCCAGGAAGAGTCTGTGCCAGTGAGTCATCTCGACAGGCATTAGGATGCCTAGCCTACCGGAGGGCCTGGGAGTGAGGCACTGCCTCTGGTGGGGTTCCTAGATCCTAGCTGGCAGTGTGTGTGGACAGAAAAGATTGCTGGCATGGAGCACTGCCTTTCTAGTTGGTCTGTGGTTTTAACCAGGGTTTGTGAACCATCACACTCCTTTGTTCTGGTTCTTCACTGCTGTAACTACCTTTGATTAAAATAAGCCCCTTGAGGGCTGGCTGCTTAGCTTACTTGGTTAGAGCGGGGGTGCTGATAACACCAACGTCAAGGGTTTGGATCCCCATACTGTTCAGTGGCCAAAACAAAGAAGTAAATAAAATTCGTGTTTAAAATACAAATAGTTTTGCTTGTATTTTCAGTTTTCCTGTAGTGAATGTAAAGATTTGTACAATTCATTCATTCAACATACATGTAATAATTAAGAGCTTTTCCCCCTCCTATAAATGAGCGTCTTGTCTTGAATTTAGAGAGGTTGGCCCTTGGCTTCATCAGGAAACATAAAAAAACATGGCCTAAGAGTCACTATTCCCATGTTCTGCTCATGTCTGCCCTCGACAATCACGTCACTTAGGGTACCTCTTTATCTCCTCTTTGAAGTATCTTTGTCTCCCAAATGGAACTGATACTGCCCTGATCTATGCAGAGTTCCCATAAGGATCAGAGGCATAATGAGTATCATTATGGTTTACAAGGTAGTGTAGTGATAACGACTTTTGTTGCACATTAATTAATGTACCAGTATCCCACAGCTGTGTAAAGTGATCCACTGCAATCCCTTCTGGTCTGGTGTACCTTTGTTCTGAAAATGAAGGATTTCAGACTTTGTTCTTATTAGCTTGATGTACATTAAATTAACACACTTCATCGTGTTCCATGCCTTTCCCTGTTCTCAGGACCTGGCCATGCACTTGTTGAACAGTGGAATCCCGTGGGCCTGGTTGGAATCATCACTGCGTTCAATTTCCCTGTGGCGGTGTATGGCTGGAACAATGCCATCTCAATGGTCTGTGGGAATGTCTGCCTTTGGTAAGACCTACTCACTCTCCTGTCCAGTAGTAAGAAGGTGAAAAAAGGAGCCATTTTCAGTTACTACTAAAAAGTATTTTAGATATGGGTTAAGCATCCCTAATCCAAAATTCTGAAATCTGAAAGGTTCCAAAATCCAAAACTTGTTGAGCATTGACATGATGCTCAAAGGAAATACTCATTGGAGCATTTCAGGTTTT